TCCTTTGAAGGCTTCCTGGAGCCGCTCTATGAGCCCTCCTTCCTGCCTCTACCCCTCCCCCACACCCACCTCTCATTCCTGATGTTTTCCTGGTCTTCTTTCACTAGGCAGTTATTTCGAGATTCATCCAGGTTGTTGTACCAGTGAATAGTTCACTCCTTGTCTTGCTCAGAAGTATCCTGTTGGATGTATACATCACCGTTTGCTTGTCCATTCGCATGTTAACATTTGGCCTGTTTGCAGTTGTCAGCTGTTATAAATCAAGCTGCTGAGAACACGTATGTATAAATTTTTGTGTGAACATACGCCCCCCTTTTCTTTTGGATATGCATCTAAGAGTGTAAAATCCAGGTCAGGTAACAAATGAAGCTCCCCGGTGGCTCAGTGGTAAAGAACTTGCCTGCCAAAGCAGGAGACACAGGTTTGATCCCTGGGTTAGGAAGATCCCCTGGAGAAAGAAATGGCAACCCACTCCAGTATTCTTGCCTCGGAAATCCCAAGGACAGAGGAGCTTGGTGGGCTACAGTCCACAGGGTCACAAAAGAGTCAGACATGACTGAGCGGCTGAACAACAGTTAACGAATGTATGTTTAACAGTTCTAAGAGCTGACAAACTGTTTTCTAAAGTGGTTGTACCATTTTACATTCCCACCAGCAGTATATGAGAGCTCCAGTTCCTCCACATCCTGGCCAAAACCTGGCATGGTCTGCCTTTTTAATTTTAGAATTCTCATAAGTGTGTAGTGGTAGGGCATTGGATCTTAAATTTTCATTTTTTATTTGCATGATTAATGCTGTGACATCTTTTCATGTGCTTACTTGCTGTCAATATGTCTTCTTATAAAGTGTCTATTTAAATCTTTTGATGTTTTTAAATGGGTTTGTTTTCTTGCAAGAGTTGATACACATTTATTTATATAATCATACAGTTTCTCCTAGTATATCATTTGTCTTTTCCCTGTTTTATCAATGTCATATGCTTTTGGTATTGGGTTTTCCTGGTGGCTCAGTGGTAAAGAATCTGCCTGCCAGTGCAGAAGACTTGAGATGCCGGTTTGATCCCTGGGTTGGGAAGATCCCCTGGAGTACAAAATGGCAACCAACTCCAGAGTTCTTGCCTGAAAAATTCCATGGACAGAGGAGCTTGGTGGACTACAGTTCATGGGGTCTCAAAGAACCAGACACGCCTGAGCAAACAACCTCTCATGCATTTGGTACCTAAAATCTATGCCCAAGCCTAAATCACAGCAATTTTTTCTGATGTTTTCTCCTGGAATTTTTATAATTTTTATTTTTACATAAGTCTGTGATCTGTTTTGAGGTAATTTTCACATGGTTCAAAGTATGGATCACAATTCATTTTTATATAGATATCCAATTGTTCTGGCACCATTTGTTGAGGAGACTATCTTCTCTACAGAATTTTCTTTGCACCTTTGTCAAAAATCAATTGACCACATAATGTGTGAGTCTATTTCTGGAGTCTATTCTGCTCCATTGACCTATTTGTCTGTCTTTGATGCCAAAACCACAGACTTCACACTGAATCTTGAAAATTCAGGTAGTGTAGATCTTCGACCTTTGCTTTTCTTTTAATGTTATATTTTCTCTGACTGCTTTTAAGATTATCATTTTTATTAGTGATTTTCAGCAATGTCAGACATGGGTTGGTGTGTGCGTGTGTGTGTGTGGTGTGTACGCTTCTTGGGGTCTGTTGATATTTTTGGATCTTTGTGTTTGTAATTTTCATCAAATTTAAATTTTTTACTGTTATTTCTTTACATATTATTTCCTGTTGTACTTCTTCCAATACTCTAATTATATAGCCATTTGATAATCCACAAGTCACTGAGGCTTTTTCACTTTTTTCAGAATAGACTTTTACATTCTATTATGTGTGTCTTCAGAACTCTATCTCCTATTTGTCACTTCCTTGTCTTTGAGCTGCATTTGGGTAACATCCTGAAATCTGTCCTTCAGTTAATTAATTGTATCTTCAGACAAGTGATCTGCTTGATCCATCAATTGAGGCTTTTATTCTTGTGATTATATTTCTTATTTCAGCTTGCTTTGGTTGGTTCTTTTTCAAATGTTCCTGATCATTTTGTTTGATTTTGAACTGATTCATTGGGAAAGACCCTGATGCCAAGAAAGCCTGAAGGCAGGAGAAGAGGATGACAGAGAACAAGATGGTTGGATGGCATCACCAACTCAATGGACATGAGTTTGAGCAAGCTCCGGGAGACTGCGATAGACAGGGAAGCCTGGTGTGTAGCAGTCCATGGGGTCGCAAAGAGACAGACATGACCGAGCTGAACTGAACTGCAGACTCTCACTTATATTGCATTATTTTTTTGTGTCTGGTAATTTTTATTATGAGCTCATATATGGTATATGGTGAAGGGCCCAGATTGGAAATGCCTTTTCTCCAGAAAGCATTTGTATCTGCTTATTTTGTGCTCCAGGGGCAATGTGCGCTTGTGCTAAGTCACTCAGTCGTGTCTGACTCTGCGACCCCATGGACTGTAGCCTGCCAGGCCCCTCTGTCCATGGGGTTCTCCAAGCAAGAATACTGGAGTAGGTTGCCATGCCCTCCTTCAGGGGTCATCCCCACCCAGGGATCAAACCTGCATGTCTTACATCTGCATTGGTAGTCGAGTTCTTTACCACTAGCACCACCAAGGGGCAATACTAACGTACAACTATTTTAATTTAGTTTGATGGGTGTTTACCTTGGGGACAGGGCAAGTTTGAAACTCAGACACACACGGGAGCTGTCCTCTGGCTTCAAATGATCAGGAGAGACTATCATTTGTATCATTTGTGGTTTTTCCTCCCAGACGCAGCAGATATGAGCAGATTTTTTTTCATTGGTCCAGTGTACCAGCATGAGTCCCTAAAACCTGAACTTCATGTTGTAGGTGGTTGTACACAGTGGAGCTCAGACGTCTGTGTTAATAACCACTCTAGCCTGGGCTGATTATTCTTTTCTTGTGTTGGAGATGCGGTTGTTGGGTATTTCCCTGTGGGTTCAGGAGAGCCTTTTGTTATAAATAATCCTCCATTTCAGTACTTTCATCTGGGAGGGTATTCCAGTTGAGCTGTCTAGCTGATCATGCTATTGGGATCCCAATGTCTTGTATTATTTTTATTATTCACTTTATTAATTTAGGTCTATAATCCATCTAGAATTTACTTTTGTATTTGAAATTAGACTGAAGTCCATCCTTTTTCTTCTCAGATGGCTAGCCAATTAATAGTATTGATTAATAATTCTATTTTTCTGAATTAATTATGTTTGTCATAAATTAACCTAATATGTGTTCTGGGACTTAACATATTTAACCATTCCTCTATCAACACTTTACTGATTAGATTCCAGAGGCTTTATGTAGTCTAATGTATGAAAATATAAATTTCATTTGAACGTTCTTCTGTTTCATAGTTTTCTTAGCTAATCACAAGGATTTAAGAGAGTATTCTTAACTCAGTTTTGCAAGGAGGGGAATCTCATCCTGCATTTACTGCATTTAATTAGACTGAATTGAGAAGATGCATGGGGAGGGGGAAGGACCATCACTTGGGGAAGCCACGTTCCCTGTCCAGGACTCAGTTTCCTCCACTGGTGAAAGAAGGACTGGCACTCTGGATTCCTGGACTCCTTTCCTGCTCTGGAGTCCCAGCCCAGGTTCACTCAGCCCTGGGGCTTCCCTGTGGACATGGACAACACCAGCTAAGAGTAACTATTTATGTCATTAGCTAGGAAATACACACCAGGCTTGGTTCTCAGCAAGTCTATATACTCCTCACAGCATCTCATTTAATCCTCAAACATTCCTGTGATGCTATTAATACTATCTTTATTCTCTATAGGAAGAAACTGAGGAACAGAGAGCTTTAGTGGCTTATTTGTTGAAGCCACTGGTTGGTTAAAAATAAAAATAAGGGAATGGAGTGGGGAGCTGTGCAGAGTATGAAAAGATCAAATTATGTTTTTACACAGTTATTGCTCATTACCCTTGATACATACAGAGGAAGGACCTCAGAAACAATAACTAACACATTCGTTGAGTGCCTCTGATGTACTTTAGGAATATTAACTCATTGATCCCTACAACCATCCTATATAATGGCCACTATTTATTATCTCCACGTCTCAGATGAAGAGAGTGAGGCCCAGAGAGGTGAAGTAACCAGCCTAAGATCACCCAGCCAGAGGTAGGCTGCTGAACCCACATCCTCCGACTCCAGGGATCATGCATTCCTATAGGTAAGCTCAAAAGTACACACAGAGTGTGTTGAACTCATGACTGCCTTCAGGTCACCTGCCACAAGCTGGATGGAGACATGTGAATGTGAAAGTGTTGCCACTGAAGGGGTGGAGCTCGTGGCCATCTCTAAATGTTTAGAATTATCTTTGACAGTGTATTTTGATTTTTTTTTTTTAACTTAAAGGAGGCACTCTGTGGATTAACAGGTTGTTGGCTTTGAGGGGCAGGATTCAGGGAGAGGGGGCTGACTGCTTTGAGCTTTCTAATTTCGCCACAGTGCTAATACAGTATGCATTCCTGCGTGGCTTAAAAATATTCAGAGACGTATAAATAGGGGCACTTATGTAACTGAGGGGGCGGGTGGACGGACCCGCAGCAACCGAGGCGGGGGTTCGGTAGCGGGGTGGGGCTGATCACCCCTCCGCCCCGCCCACTCCCCGCCCCTCCTTCTCTGGCCCCGCCCAGTCCCCGGCTACTCGGAAAGCCCGGAGCCCGGAAAGGGCTGCGCAGCTGGAACTCTAGCCCATGCGCCCGCCCACTTCCCGGCGGCGCGACACGGTCCAGGGCAGACAAAGCCCGCACCCCGGGCACTCTCAGCGGCTCAGCGAGTGACACCTCCAGAAGGCCCGCCTACGGCGCACGGGGCGGGTCGGAAACGGAGCCCGGGGCGCGGGGTGGAGCGGCCGGCGCTGGGCGGGTGCACCTGGTGGGCCGAGGCCGGGCGGCGGCCCGGGCGGGCGGGCGACATGCAGCGGGACAGCGGCCAGGCTGCGGGTCAGTGGCTGGCCTTGCGGCCCCTCCCCTCGGTCGCGCGCGCCCCGCTCCTTGGGAGTTTGGAGGGTCTTCCCCGGGACGGGGTGGGAGCGTCCCGGTGCAGTCCGGCCCCGCGGCGCGGGTGTGAATGCCCGAGGCAGTGCCCAGGGCCTAGCACGTGACTCGGGCCTGCGTCCGGCCGGTCCGCTCCCCGCGCGTCCCTAGGCGCAGGTGCCCATCTGTCCGCCCCCTGCTGCCGTCCCCGTCGTCCCCGCGCCGATGACCTCCTGTCCTCCCCAGCGCGGCCCCAGAGCGGGTCCGGCGCCGTCTGCGGCCGCCGGTGCTGATGGAGGGGCGACCCCGGCTCCGGTGACAGTCTGAGATCCCGGCTCCCTCCGCCGTCACCAGCCACTGCTGGGGCCGGACGCGCGCGCGTCAGCCGGCGACTCTGCTCTTAAGAGCTGTTGCGTTGTGCAGCGATCGGGCAGGTCCCGGCTCAGCGAACCCGTTCTCACCTGTCCCGCGTAACGACCGGCGACCTGGGGGCGGGGACTGTGCTCCACAGTGAAAAATAGAGGACATTCGGTGACTCAAACGCGGCCCCACAGGTCCTTACATAACCAGGATTCGAGCCCATGTCGATGGGTGTCAGAGCTTCGGAGTCTACCGCGCAAATGTTTACACTGATGCTGGAAAGATCTAGGTCTCAGTCCAGAACGTTCCTTTATGCAGAAAAAGCCCGTTTCCTGCCCTTCATGATAAGCCCTGTGATTTGCTCCTGGGTAATGTGTTTCTGTCACCTGCGGGCAGGTGGCATTTGAACTTAAAGTTGAACTGGCACACCGGATTATCACGTTCCAGTGCGGACTTTGTGAACGGTTACCAGTGCGGACTTTGTGAACGGTTAGGCTACCAGCAGTTCTTAACTATAGCCTGATTCCTGGGTGCCAGGCACTATAATAACCAGAGCCTCTTAGTAGCCCAGTCCTGCAGCTGAGAAAACTTGAGGAACAAGAGACAATGTGGTTAACAGGTGGCAGAGCTGGCTCTGAGATCAAAAGTTCTAGTTGAGGTACAGGTGTTACCACTGTACTGTCCAGCCAGTGGGGAGGCCAAGGACCCAGGACAAGCACCACTTGTCTCAGAATTGGAGATCTTGAGCAGGTCACAGAACATTCTAGAGCCTTAGTATTATGCAAAGCAATCACCATTGCAACCACTTTGCCCACTTAGGAGCTGGGAGTTAATATGGACTCAGAGCTCCCTGAAGTCTGTATTGTCAGCCACTGCTGTTTCTGCAGCTGCTGCCTGCGGCCTGGCACTCTGTCTGACCCTGGTCATAATGCCTGTCCACTGAATGAATGAATCAGTTGAGAGCTGTTCCCCCAAATGAGCTCCTTCCAGCTGAGCCTGGATCTTTGGAAGAGTGGGAGGGGGGAGGCAGGAGAGATTTGGGGCCGGCCCAGCAGGATGAGGGTATCTGAAGTCGGGCCGTACTGGATAGGAGAGGATTACTGCTGTGGGGAGATGGCTGGAGAGATGGAAAGAGGAGGCAACCCAAGGTGGGGGTCCTATCTGCCCTGCCCTGCCCTGGGCACCTGGGAGAGGTGCCAGTTCACTGACCTGAACCTCTTTCCCTACCTGTGGGTGTTGCCATGGCAACTAGAGTCATGCTGAAGATTAAATAGGATAACATGCATAAAGGGTCTGATTATCACCCATTTTTATCACCACCTTTTGGAGTCAGTTATATCATTTGGGTGTGTGTGAGACTAGCTGAGACATGAGGGCCCAGCCTCCTGGAGCTTTGAATCCCAGGCTAAGGGGTCTGGACTTCATGCCAGAGTCAGGGGGAGCCATAAAGAGATATGAGCAGAGAAGGAGGAGGTGGGATTCTCACCTGTGGGTCCAACGGCAGGGATCCTTGAGAGGAAGTTGAGTCCTGCACTGCTGGTGGGCTTAAAATGGATCCAGCCCTGTGGAGGGGTATGTGCCATCCAGAGTCTATCTGAATTAGAAACACACATGCCCTTTGACCCAGCAACCCAATTTTTTAGAGAGCCCACTGCATGCATGAAATGCTTTGTGTGCAAGGCCAGGAGGAACATGCATTTCTTACTGGATCTGCCAACTGCTCTGTGACCCCTCCTCACAGCAGAATTCCAGGCCCCCTTCACCAGGAAATGCAGCAGCTCTAAATGGGCTGGTGCAGAAATTACTCAAAGACACAGTCAGCAAAAGAAGTAAAGTAAGTTCAGTGCACCCAGTTTGCCATTATGCAGGGTACAGACGTGTTTGTGAATGCACAGACTAGCTCTGGAAGGGCACATGAAGAGCCTCCTAACGTAGCCTCCAGGGGGGACCAGGGAGGGATGCTGTCTGCCCTTTACCATCACCCATGGGAATGCCCCCCCTCTCCAGTTCTGCAATTTATGATTCAAAACAAAAATACCATTAAAAAAACAAGAATAGTCCTAGTGATGGATTGCAAGACTGGATCAGGCTTGGCCATGTGGATACAAGCCAAGGAAAGTGCCAGAATGCTGGGTTTTATCATCCCTCTTTGCTGCATTTCCCCTTCCCAGAAAGCTGAGAGGGAAGTCAGTGGATACCTTCTTGTCTTTCCTCACCCTCAGACAAGTCAGCATCCAGAACTGTCTGGCAGGGTCTGTTTCCTGCATTGTGGTTGGTAAGTAATACTTACCAAGACAGAGGATGAGATGGTTGGATGGCCTCACTGACTCAGTGGACATGAGTTTGAGTAAACTCCAAGAGTTGGTGATAGATAGGGAGGCCTGGCATGCTGCAGTCCATGGCGTTGCAAAGAGTCAGACACTACTGAGCGACTGAACTGAACTGAACCAGGATACCACTTCAGAATGGTAACTTGAAAGTTGTTACCTCCCCCTCGCTGTGAGGAAGCACAGGGGGTGCAGGTTGAAGGCAGAGGACAGACCTTGGACTGGCAGCCAGGAGGCTTGGGTTCAGTCACACCTGCCTTTCCCACCTGTGTGATTCTAGGCGTCCTTCTGGAATCAATCTGCTTCTGGGTACTTCATCTACAGTCACAGCTACAGTCAAGTGTGTGTGGGAGGAGGGGGGATCATGCATACATCTAACAGATATGAGCTGTTTGTTGTTCATTTGCTCAGTCTTGTCTGACTCTTTGCAATCCCATGGACTGCAGCACACCAGGCTTCCCTCTGCTTCACCATCTCCCGGAGCTTGCTCAAACTCATGTCCATTGAGTCGATGATGCCATCTAACCATCTCGTCCTCTGTCATCCTCTTCTACTCCTGCTTTCAATCTTTCCCAGCATCAGGGTCTTTTCCAGTGAGTCGGCTCTTCCCATCAGGTGGCCAAAGTTTTGGAGTTTCAGCCTCAGCTGAAGCTTCAGCCTCAGATCTGAGCTGTCAAGGGTCCCATTTCCACCTCCCATCTGTAAAATGGGATCATAATTACCCTTCTGCCTCCTTCACAGGAGGTCAGGAGTTTATTTGACTGCAGACAACATCCTCGACATTCTCAGAGGACAGATTTCTGTAAACGCACCGATTTAAAATGTCAGTAAAATAAGTGACATTACTGAGAGCCTATTAAGGGCCATGCGCTGCTCTGAGAACTTTATAAGTTTGGATTTAACCCCCCACCCTCACAATGTAAACTCCAGGGGGTCTGGTTGTCAGTTCTACACTGTTGCCTGCCACACCCAGCATATATTTGGCATCCTGTAAATACCTGTGGTGTGAATAGACCTTTCAACAACTCTGTCAAGTTGGTCTGCAGTTTGCCCTGACTTTGTGAAGAGGAACCCATGGTTCCAGCAGGGGATTGTGTTGCTGATTGTGTGAAGCTCACTCAAGGGACTTGGGGGCTAAACCAAGAGAAATGACCATTGACTCAGGTTGTAGGTATTTGGTGTCACTTGTGGGGATTTGAAACACAAATGTTCACATCACAGAATCCCTGTGCTGGACAGACTCTAGGTGGGATGGTGATTTCCGTATCTCAGAACTTATGTGGCTGTTTCTTGCTATTTTAGTGCCCACAGAATTCCTTTTCCCACCTCCAAGTGGAACGGGCAGCCTACTACCCGGGAGCTCTGTGATCCAGACCTCCTGCTGGGACCTGGCATCTCTGCCCACGCCGCACATTATGCTGACTGACCCGGGGGACCCAAAGGAGCAGGACTCAGAGGAACCAAAGGCAAGTGCGGTCCAGGCCAGGCTTGGAGGGCCTCCCATGCTACGGCGTTGTGGCATCATAACAGGAGTGATCACACCTGCGTGTTAAACATGCTCTGTGCTCTAAGTTCTGGGCCGGCACTCCTGGGCATTATTTTCTCAAACCTGCACAGCACCGCAAAGCACAGAGAAGTCAGGAACCTGCTCAGAATCACTCAGGAATTGGCAGAGCAGGATTTGATCTTGAAGAGTTTGGCTCCTGAGCCTGACTACTCCAGGAAACTTGGGGGTTTGGTGAAGGTTCTGGGGTGAGGTGAGCAGTTCTTACCTGGGGCATGACCTAGTCCATTTTCTGTTCGGGAAAGGCAGTTGGTGAGTGTTGGCATGGAAGGCACCGTGGTGGTTAAGTGGTGGCTAAGTGGGAAGAAGGTGGGCTTGGGAGGCAGACAGATGGGTATTGGAAGCATGGCTCTGCCATCTTCGAGCTGTGACACTTTGCACAAGGTGTATTAACTCTTCAAGACTCAGTTACTTTTTGGTGAAACAGGGATAACATTATTTGAGTGCATGCTCAGTCATGTCTGAGTCTTTGCAACCCATGGACTGTAACCCGCCAGTCTCCTCTGTCCATGGGATTCTCCAGGCAAGAATACTAGAGTAGGTTGCCATGCCCTCTTCCAGGAGATCTTGATCCAGGGATTGAACCCGTATCTCCTGCATTGCAGGCAGATTCTTTACCCCTGAGCCACCAGGGAAGCCCTAAACATTACCTACTTCAAAGGAATTTCTAAAGACTAAACAACTATCGCATACTGAAAGGTCTGGTCCATAATGGGTGCACAACAAAATATTTTTTCTTTTTCTTTTTACTTTATTATTGTGAAAGTACAGCAAGAGATAACCAGGTCTGCTGAGAAATACTAAAAAGAAGCAGTACCCTGCACCAGTTAGGATCAGGCTCAGCTTCACATAACGAAAACTCCCCAGATAATAGTAATTTGGGCTTCCAAGGTGGCTCAGTAGCAAAGAATCCGCCTGCCGATGCAGGAGATGCAAGAGACATGGGTCCAATCCCTAGGTCAGGAAGATCCCCTGGAGAAGGAAATGGCAACCCCACTCCAGTATTCCTGCCTGGAAAACTCCATGAACAGAAGTCTGGTGGGCTCAGGTCCATGGGTTTGCAGAGGTGAATGAACTAGAATTTTAAGTTAAGACCATGGTATCTAAAGGTAGGAAGCCAGCCTTTGACAGTGTACCTTTTCTTGTGGTATCTAAACATGTGATGCAGACAACATCTTGTAACAAACATCTTCAGCATTCAGGTGAGGGTAGGGGATGCTGCATGCCCTCAACAAAGCTCTGCCCACATGAAAATCACCAGGACTTTTCTGGGCGAGTTGTAAAGCCACCGGGGCCAAGATCCTTTTTCTAACCATGATTNTGAGGGTGGGGGATGCTGCATGCCCTCAACAAAGCTCTGCCCACATGAAAATCACCAGGACTTTTCTGGGCGAGTTGTAAAGCCACCGGGGCCAAGATCCTTTTTCTAACCATGATTATAGTCATCAACTGAGCTTGGTCTGGTTCCCAAATGATTGACATGATTAGTTACATACAGGAAAATATTCTTCTCCTTGAGACCTGCTCAATTGCCTTGTAGAATCCGGTTCATTGATATGTTCTTGAGTTTTTTCTACCTTATAGGTAATAAGAACACGTGCATTGAACCCTGTTGCATGCTGAGATGTCCTGGCCCTTTACAAACGTCAGCTCACCTACTGTAGTGCTACCTTTTGTTGTGTTGGTTAGGAGATGCACAGGTAAAGCGGTCTCAGTTCATGGTGTGCCCGATCTAGGGACTCAGCCTGTCACTCAAGCCCCCACACTGTCCCTTCTGCTACACCCTGCTGACTCCCAATGGACATTTTCTTTGTAAAAGAAAATTTGGTGTGTAAAACCAAATATCCAAAATTCACTGTCTATTGCAATCTGAACATGAAAGATCCATGCTGGTCAAGAATCCTACTGAGATGGATTTTATTTCCCCCTTGAATTTTGCCCATCCATTGATCTTCTGCTCTCCTGCCGACTGCACTTTTTTGCAATGTCTTTCCTTGCTCAGCCATGTTCTACTTCTGCTTTTCCTTTTAAACTAACGTACTCAAGTGTGTGGGAAATGTTCTCCACGTAGTAACACCCGGTGCTAATGATCAGCTCACTGTGGACGTGGCTCTATTTAGGGCAGAGTCAATTTGGTTTAAATCCTGTGTGAGAAATTCAGCAAGAACAAAAAAGCTTCAGAGAAAAACATCCCTGCAGCCTTTCCAAGTGTCTTTGTCTCTGTAACTATGGTTTCTGGACAAACGCAGAAAACGCTCAGGAAGAATTTTCTTTGAATAAAGAAGCTGAAACAATGGGCCAAGGATGGCAGTAAAATGATAAGCACTTTTATTTTGATTTTTGATTTATAAAACTCGAATACAGAGAAGTAACAATAAATATATGAAAGTGTTTCCTCCAGTTAAAAACAAACAACTTCCCCTGTGTCCTTCAGCAGAGGAGCCGAGCAGGCAGACAGGAGGGGCCGCTGTGATGCAGGGCACAGGTCACCTGGTCTGCCTCTCATGTGACTCCAGGCAGCTGTGCGGGTCTTGCTCAGAAGGCACAGCTCTAACAGAAGCCGTGGTGTGCTCTGACTCTCAGCCTGGCCAAGTCACGTCATCTTTCTGAGAGTCTTCCTGTGTTGTGGGGTGATTAAAAGAGTTCCTTTGAGCAGGCAATGTGAGACTCAAATTCAGGAACATGTGTGTTGGAAAGTTCCTGGTGAACCAGACTGTAGAGATGGTTTCAGCTTTTATTACCAGAAATCAATGCTGACCACAGGATGTGGGAGCTCTCCAGGGTCCTGAAAGACTTGTCATTCCCTTTCTGACTCCGGGGATCAATCATGTGGGAGTCAGCAAAGGAGAATGTCATTAATTGTGCACCTGCTGCATGCCTGGTGCCTTGCTAGGTGCTCTGCAGAATTCTCTCTCTAACATGGGTGGTAACTAGCCTGGCTGTTTGCTTCTGCATGGCCTGAACTCTGTGTTCTTGTTCCTTAAGTCCCCAATGCCAGGCGCTGCCCTGACCTCCTCTGTCATGTGGCCCCCAACACATGTGGCCTGGCTGTGGTGGTATCAGATCCTCTCCCAGCCAACCTGCTGGGTCACTGACCAGCTGTGTATCTCCTGGCGCTGTGTATCTCCAGGCTGAAATGGGCACGTCTGGGAGGGAGTTTGGAAAACTGGAAAACTGGAAAGCTGAAACAGAGGTTTTTAGGCCACATTTGGATTATTTGCCACCATTTTTGGCACCTGTGTGTGTTTGGTTTATGGAAAACTTGAAACTGAGCCCTGAATGCAAGGGTGTCCAGACTGTCATTCTGTAACCCTTAGTCCCTGAAATGAGTTGTTGCCATTATTTATATGCCCCAGACCTCCTCCATCAGACTGGGGCACTTGAGGGCCAGGCCTGCATCTTATTCAGCCCTCTAGCCTCCAAACATGGCCCAGGATCCCAGTGGCAGCAAGGGTGCAGGCACTGTTGATGAACCAAGAAACACACTCCACAGAGGACAGAGCTGCAGCTTGGGTCTCCCTCCTGGGAACTGGCTGCCAGAGGAGGGGCTCTGCATGTGACCTTGACAGCGTGCATTTAGTGAGCACCTACTGCATGCCTGGCTCTGCTGTAAGAACTACATGATTGTTTCCACGTTTAATCGTCATTACAGCCCACAAGGTTCAGGCTATTATGAGTCCCATTTTACAAGTGGGGAAACAGAGGCACAGGGATGTTACTAATTTGCCTGAGGTCACATGACAGAGAAGTGGCAGAGCTGAGATGGGAACCTAGGCTGAGCTAGTCAAGCTCAGAGGTTAACACCCTGCCTCCAATACCAAGGCCTGGCCCCATCCCCACCCCCTCACCTTGAACCTAGTCACCCAAACCTCATGTTGCTTTCTTGTGTGCCCAATCACATGGCCATATGCTTCCTGGTGATTGGGCTTCCCTGGTAGCTCAGATGGTAAAGAATCTGCCTGTGATGTGGGAGACCTGGATTCAGTCCCTGCATTGGGAAGATTCCCCAGAGGAGGGCATGGCAACCCACTCCAGTATTCTTGCCTGGAGAATCCCCATGGACAGAGGAGCCTGGTGGGCTATGGTCCATGGGGTCAAAAAGAGCTGGGCACATCTGAGCTACTAGGCACATATGGTCATAACACGATGGGAGGGAACATCCCAGGCTCCTGCACCTGCTGGGGACACCCAGGCAGTGACTGAATTCCTCCAAGCCTCAGTTCCCTCATCTTCGGGGCATGACCATCTCTCTGCAGAGCTGCCAGGAGGTCAGAGGCCACGTGGGGCGAGTGTGGCGAGGACTCTTAAGTGTGTTGCCATATTATGGACTGTGATTCAAATATGGTCAATCATTGTTGACAATCCTGAGGTCTTCCTGTGTATTACTCTTTCAGAAAAGGAAAGGAGGCTGGCCTAAAGGCAAGAAAAGGAAACCCCCGAAGGATCTTGCTGTTCCCCGTGCTCCTACGACAGGGTAAGATGGGGAGATCACCTGACCCACTGTTAAGGTAACATTTTGGGCTTTCCACATGGCCTGCGCTATGTGCCAAGCCTGGATGGCCTCTGTCCCTTCTCAGCCTTTATCTGTTGTTCAGGACCCTTGATTGTTACGGGGTCTCACACCACAGGGAGCGAGAGAGGGTTGTTTAGTTCTTTAAGCTGGAATAAGGTTCTGATATCCAAAGGAGAGCTGGGCTTGAGTCACAGACAGGAAAGTGGGTGACTGTGGGGCCAATGTGTCTGGTTTTCCTTCCAGGCTTGTGATACCTGGGGCTCCACGGCTTTGGGTGAGCTAGTGATCATTCATCAAGGCTTAAAGTGCAACCCCCGAGTGTCCTGAGACCTGTCCCTCACCCCCTGGCATCTTGGGCTGCAGAAAAGAGGCCCAAGGACAGTCACTTCCCACTGCTCTGAGGGTCACCTGACTCTTCTGGAAACTTGAGTGTTTTTCTCTTTATCCTCAAGGTTCACATGTTTCAAAGGGTGAAGTTCTTTTCTCAGTTTTCCCATAACTCCAGTGCATATGGCTTTTGGTCCAAAGACTGGTTGTCTCACTCCAACACCTGCAGACTTTCTCCCTCTGCCTTGACAAAAATCTCTCGTCAGGCGGGTGGGAGAGCTTGTACCTGGAGCATCTGAGCCACACAGCAACCCCATGAACAGATGATATTATGTCCATAACACAGGGGGGGAAACTGAGGCTCAAGTAGGCTTGAGCGAGCTGCCCACCCAGTCTTCATGCCTTTCCCATGGCTGGGGGCGGGGGGGCGTGGAATCCCTCTTAAGTCTTCCATCAGTCTCTGGATAAGCCAGCCATTCGAGTATTTCCCCATCTTCAAATAGCACCCATTTTACTGGTTAGAATGAAACATGGGCAAACTCATGACTGTTGATTTTCATGAAAATCTGAAAACGGAAGTCACTGCAGCAGGCCCCAGGGCCTCCCCTCCAGCAGTAGCTCAGCACTGTTGTGTGTGTCCCATTCCCGGTGCAGTTACGTGATATTCCTGAACGAACAGAGGAGCCAGCTGAGGGCCCAGCACCCCAATCTGCCTTTCCCGGAAATCACGAAGATGCTGGCTGCTCAGTGGGCTCAGCTCCCACAAGAAAAAAAGCAAGTAAGTCTTCTTCTGCGTGGAGTGGACAGAGAACTGGGTCTGGCTGCCTGCAGCCTCGATTAGGGGCTGCTCCTAAGAGATGGCTGCTCCCCCCGGGCCATCTTTTCATACAGGAGCCAGAGGGAATGTTCCAGAAGGCAGGCACGCGGTGCCTCCCACCTCACCCCTTAAAAGCAATTACTGGTCCCTGTGGCTTTGGCATCCACTGTCTCCCAAACTGTCAGGCAGAATGGTGAATCCATGAAAGATGGCTAAATTGTCCAGTAAGCTTAGGAAATTCTGGAGCAGATCAAGGGAAATAGATTTTTCCCTCTGCAGGGCTTTTTTGGAGCCTTTTGGTATAATTTGATTCACTTAAAGTATTTCAGACGAGGTCCATGCTCTCCTGGAATGAGGTGTGGAGGGAGAGATGGAGAACAGCGCGCTAGGGCACGAGAATCTCTGCCACCTCTCGTGAAAGGCTTTCTCAAACGAATCCACCCTGGAGCCCCTTATGCAGAGAGCTCCTGTTAACCTCCTATGGAAGTATGTTCTGGGGTCACAGAGGAAGCAACACCAAGTTACAGGGTAGAGTCATGCTTTTATCACGGCATTTATGTCCAATGTCAACTTCTGCCACCTTGTCCCCACTACATTCCAGTCACCCTGATCAAGCCATGCCTGCTGTGGCGTCACCTCCTACAAGAAGCCCTCCCAAACTCCTTCTAAGTATGTCTGACCCCAAAAAAGCCCATATTTTTCCCAGAACAGTCTGTGGCCTCCAAAGTGTCATTTCTTTGGGTCAAATGCAAAAACTCTGAGATGAGCTTCTTTAACCCCTGCACTTCCAACTTTTTCGCCATAGAAAACCTTTGGTTCAAATGAACTATTACAGAGAAATCCTAATTTGAGAGCATGGTATCAATTAATAGCATCCCTCCCTTTGCTACTCAGATCTGCCACCACTCAGGAAGTAGTTCCAGTAGCCAGTCAGACAGTTGGACAAGCTCTGGCCATCACAGTCAGGGCAGGCCTCTGACTCTGGCCAAGAGCAGCCTGGGGCCCTGGCTGTCTGTCTCCATCAGGTCTCAGGGGAGGAGAGAGGAGGGGCTCCACAGAGCATCTCTGGTTCTGGCTCCCAATTTACCCTCGACAAGCCCCTCCTCCCACCTGGAGGGGAGGGTGATCCTGGAGAGGCCAGCAGGATTAAGCTCCCCGCTTACAGAAGGAAACATCAGGAATGGGGAAGAAATGTTCTCACCACACACCCCTGCTAACATGTAAAAGAAATGAAAGCAAAACCACCGTGGTTAAGTTGGGTGAAGATGGTTAGGGTTAGTCCCCACCTGTCAAGTGGCTTAAGCTGCCAACATTCCAGTCTGAGCGGCTGAGACAAAAATGACAATTGTCTTTGGAATAAGCATGGTGATTACAAAGCATAGGACAGCTCTTATGGGTCAGGGAGGGGCAGAACCTCTGATCCAAGATTTTAGGGAGTCTCTGAGCTACTGTCATGATTTCAGAAATCCTTCCCTCTCCCCCTGCCCCAGCTGCTGTGTCTGGAGCTCCTCCAAGTCGTAGTTTGAAAAGTCCTGCTTCAGCATTGCCAGCTATCTCCTTGGTAGAGTCAAGTCCCTGAAGGAAGGGACAGAGGCCGCGCACCACGTGCCCGGTGGAAAGGGGCTCCGGAAGCCCGAGGAAAGAGGCCATGCTCAGCTCCATACTTTGTTAGGACCAGTTCAACCTGCATGTGCTGTCACTTCAGTCGTGCCCAGCTCTTTGTGACCCTATGGACCATAGGGCCAGGCTCCTCTGTGCATAGGATTCCCCAGGCAAGAATATTGGAGTGGGTTGCCATGCCCTCCTTGAGAGGATCTTCCTGACCCAGGGATTGAAGCCAAATCTCTTACATCTCCTGCACTGGCAAGTGGGTTCTTTACCACTAGTGCCACCTGGGAAGCTCCCAGGTCAACACATCAGTGCTTTAAGCTTTTTGCTTAACATGATAATGTATTTCAAATTACCAGGTGCATAAAATATTATTCACTGTGAATAATAACTACTTGGCAAGCATTCTTAGAGTGAATTTTGGCTCCACACACACACACACACACACACACACACACACACCAGTCCCTGGGTTACACCAGTTGGTGCCAGCATCTGTGGCTGAAGGTGAGTCCAAGTCCCTGCTTTCAAGGAGTTCATAGTCTAGGGGGCCAGGACCCCCAAAGTGGACACATACAATCCAGGGTGAGGAGTGTCTGGGACAGAGGTTTCTACCAGGGCAGGGGGGTGGTGTCCAGGAGGCATCTAATCCAATGTGGGGGTGCCCGAGCCAACTTGGGGGCATCAGAGAAAGATTCTCCAGGATCTGAATGTTCTGTGATAGATCTTGAAGGATGAGTAAGATTTGGCCAGGGGAGGAAAGCTGAGACAAGTGTTCCAGATGGAGGGAAAACAATAGTAGATGAGGTAGCCTGGGGCTGGATCTGATTCCTCTCTTTATCACCTATTCTCCACCCAGCACCCTGCACAAAGTTAAGCCCTGATGTCTTAAGCACTGCCATAATTGAATAGAAGTGTAAGGTCCCAGAGTGGGAGTGGGGGGCCACTGATAGTGCTACCGTCCCCTGCAGTCATCAGACCACACCAGTTGTGGTGAAAGCCACAGGGAGGCAGGTTCTAGTTGATTGGAAGGAAGGCCTTCTGTATGGTCTGAGTCATTCGAACGAGGTGTGAACTTGCTGTTAGGTAGTGAGGTTTCCATCCCTGGAGGTATGCAAGTAGAAGATGAGCAATAGCTAGCTTCTTGGTACCATCCTAGAGAGACCAAGGCAAGTTGGACAAGGGGACGCCACCGGCCCCCTCCAGATGAGGAGAGTCTCACAGGATCTCTGTGCTCCTTCTTCCAGAGGTATGTCTGTGAGGCGGATGAGGACAAGCAGCGCTACATCCGCAAGCTGCAGGCCTACCAGAACTCTGAGGCTTACCGAGCCTTCCTGCGGAGGCGGACCGAGCTCAAGGTGCAGGCGCTGTGCGGTGAGTGAGCCCGGCCAGGGTGGGCTGCAGCTGCTGTCTCCCAGGCTCGGGGCTATGAGATGTTCTGCCGCAGATGGAGGGTTTGGAGAGCCCTCTGTATTAGTCCCAGCCTCTGTCAACATTCACATCCTTATGTATTTGGGGTATTAACCCCTTGGGAGATGTACAGTTTGCAGATGTCTTCTCTCATTTCGTAGGTTGCCTTTTCATTGGAGTGTGCAGTGCAGAAACCTTTTAGTTTGATATAGTCCTAGCTTGTTTATTTTTTGCTTTTGTCGCTGTGCTTTTGGTGTGCTATCCAAAACACCATTGCCAAGACTGGTGTCTAGGAGCTTTTTCCTGATGTTTTCTTAGGAGTTTTTTTTTCAGCTTCAGGTCTTACATTCAAGTCTTTAATCCATTTCATTTTTGTGGGTGGTGTAAGATGTGCCCAGTTTCATTCTTTTGCATGTGGTTATCCAGTTTTCCCAACATCATTTATTGACGAGACTGTCCTTTCCCCATTGTGTATTGGATTCGCTGAGAGTAGATTCTAAGTACCCACTCAGGAAACACAGGTTCGATCCCTGGGTCGAGAAGATCCCCTGCAGGAGGAAATGGCAACTCACTCCAGTGTTCTTGCCTGGAGAATCCCATGGACAGAGGAGCCTGGTGGGCTACAGTTCATGGGGTCACAAAGGAGACTTAGTGACTAAACAACAAGATCACAGGTGCTCTCACCACAGATACAGAAAAGAAGACTATGTGAAATGAAGGATGTGTTAATTAACTTGATTGTGGTAAGGTATACTATATCCAGTCATCTGCTTTGAACACTTGAAGTATAGACATTTTTTAATTTGTCAATTATACCTGAGCAAAACTGGAGGAGGGGAAGGAGCCATGCCCCCACACAAAGCAGCTGGCATCATCCCTTTGTGGCTCTTTTTTGGGGGGGTTGAGGCACCTTGTACCTGATTACGGAGGAGGCACCCCACTCCCTCCTCCTCCTGGGGAATGTCAGAGTGATGCTGGGCCAGTGATTCCATTTTAATCCTTAGGAGGAGGAAAGGAACCCACAGTTATGGAACAGTTAAGTGCCCTGGATCACCCCGAGGCCTTTTAAAATGCAGGTTCTCACCCAGCAGGTCTGGGGTCTGCATTTCCAACACATGCCTGATTCAGTCCATGCTGCTGGTGTAGGCACTCAGCCTTGCCCAGCCTGAGTCATGCCTGATGTGCCAGGAAGTAAGACACTGAACATCCCTAAACCAGCGCACACAAGAAGGGCAACAATGGCGGATAAAGACCTCAAGTCGCCCCTACCCGCCTTGCTGGAGTGTGTCCCGTGCGCCCCCTAGAGGCTCCTGGTGGGACTGCGCCCTGTTGACTGGGCCCACCCCACCCATGCACGATTGGCTTTCCCCTCTCCCCTGACCCACTTTCCCTCTCCCTCTACCAGCGTTTCCTGGGATCACTGTGCAAAAAAAAAAAAAAAAATGCTTGCACCAAAATCCTTGTAGTGTGCCTCTGAGGGGTGCAGGCCTAATGCAGAGACAGGAACTCCACCCCACTTGTGGCATGTTCCCCACCAAGGCCTTGGCCCATGACCTAGAGCAGCACTGGGCGTTCTCACCGGGGCTCATCACTGTCCCTCCTAAGGGTTCTTCCTGCATTCCCCGTTCTAGGGGCTGACCGGCATCCCAACAGAACCTGTCAGTTCTCCACTTTGCTGCTTCTCCTTTCCACCTGAGCCTGGCAGAGCACCGTCTCCATAGTGGTCGAGTGTGGGCTCAGTGGGCCAAATGCCTGGGGTCAAATCCTGGCTCTGTCATCTTGCCCAAATCATTAAAGCATTCAGGACCTCAGTTTCCTCATATGGAAAGTGGGGCTGTGATAGGACTTCCCAGGTCCCAGCATCAGGCCTGGTGCTCATTGAGCAAGTTAAACCATAGGAGCTTGGCATATAGTGAGTTCAGCAAATATTCATGCTTTGTACCCTTTGTTCTGGGGCACGAGCCCCCCACCATAGCTTCATCCAGAGCAGGGATCTGGATGGTAAATGCTTTACCATCCAGGTAGTAATATCCAGACTAGATAGTAAATGCTTTACTCTTTATGGGTGCCATGGTCTCTGTTGCAACCACCGAACTCTATGGTTGTAGCAGGAAAGGATCCATAGACAATATGTTAACAAATGGGTGAGACTGTGTGCCAATAAAACTTTATTTACAAAAACAAGCAGAGGGCCGGGTTGGTCCACAGATAGTTCCACTCTGGTCCATTGTACTTCTTGGGTTTCCACTTAATATTTGTTTTCAGTGAAGCACCTCCAGATAAAAATAATCCTCTAAAAACTACTGGTCTAGCTTATAATTGGCATTAACAAAGTGGGGTGTTGGATGGTTCCAAGGGAGTTGTGAAGCCTCTGGCCCTCATGTGCAACGTTAAGCAGATCATGCCCTGAGACCTCTAGCTAAGGATCCCCAGAGGGCAGTTGTCATTCTCTGTTCATGTATTTCTCCCTAAAAATGCCATTTGTCAGACTTAGCAGAGAACACCTCATCTTGTTTCATTTTTCAGCCATGTTGGTCTCCTATTGCCTTCTTATTTTTGTGATTATTTGTAGATTGTCATCACATGACTAGTTGCCATGTTACAAGGAAAGGCTACTCCAAGAGAACTTGGTTTTTAAACAAGATGTATTTCTGCCTTATTGAAAACACAGTATATTTTAAAAGTTTACTATATAAAAATTTAATAATTATAATGAACAATTTTTTAAAAGACCACCTATATTCTGCCATGCTAAAAAATGAGTTGTTTATATTTCTCCTTGTTTCTCTTTAATCTTCATTTCATACCTTGCTAGCTGTTTATTATAAATTGAAATCACAGGTATCTGGTGTTTCTTCTTGGTTTATAATAAGGTATTTTACGACCTCGTTTAAAAAAAATTTTACACATTTTCCCTGAGGTTTTTAATTAATTGATTTTTAATTGAAGGATAATTTCTTTACAATATTGTATTGGTTTCTGCCATGTATCAACATGAATCAGCCAGAAATTGAGCAACTGAAGTCAAGTACTGACCCTCCAGCAGGAAACATGGAGACCTCTTAGGATAAGTGTTTTCATCCTCAGAAGGCACCTCTGACCCTTGAATTGATTCTCTCCCAGCACGGCTGAGGCCTATTCTGACACAGGTGCTTTGTAAAATGATGCTGTTTGTTTTTCTATCAGGAACAGGTGTGTCGGGACATGAATTTGAGGGCAAGGGCCTTGACTTCTCGGCAGTTGATGTAAGTACTGGGGGAGTATGGTTTTAAACTAATCAGCCTCGTTTGGTGTGGGCCCCTGAGAAACAGTGCCTCCCAAAGGAGATCTGAATTCTAATTCCTGGGGCCTGTGAATGTTACCTTATATAGGAAAAACCAGGGAAGTCCTTGAAGTTGTGATTAAATTAAGGATCTTAAGAGAGGGGCATTATGCAGAGGATGAGAGGGTTAGATAGCATCACCGACTCAGTGGACATGAATTTGAGCAAACTCCGGGAGACAGTGAAGGACAGGGAAGCCTGGCATGGGGTCGCAAAGGGTTGGATATGACTTAGCGACTGAACGACAATTATGTGGTCATAAGTGTCCTTCCAAGAGGGAGATGGAGGGAGATTTGACACCAAAGAGGAGGAGGCCACATGACCACTGGCAGAGATTGGAGTGATGTGGCCCCAAGCTAAGGAAGGCATCAACCACCCCAAGAGGCTGGAAGAGGTAAGAACAGCTTCTCCCAGAACCTCCAGGGGGAACTAAGCCCTGCCCACATCAAAATGTTGGACTAGTCAGGTTGATTTCAGACTGCTGGCCTCTGGAACTGTGAGAGTGAACTTTTGTTATTCTAAGCCACTCAGTTGGTGGAACTTGGTTATGGCAGCCCAGGAAACACATCTGGGCACAGGGGTTCATGCATCGCTGGAGTGTGGCTCACACATCAGTCCCTTATGGAGGCCTTTCTTTGAGGTTCCTTGGACAAGTATGTATGAAGCCCAGCTCAGTGGGAGGCGGGGCAGCAGACTCAGGATGCAGAAGTGGGTGAAGCACGGCCCCGTGACTCCTGTCCAGGGCGAACTGGTAAGTGTGCAACACACAACATTAGGATCTGCTGTGATCGGGATGCGTGCACAACGAGAGGGACCCCGCCCGAGGCTGTCTGGGCCAGTCTCAGGGCAGGTGATTCTGAGATGATGCTCATGAAGAGGAAATGGGAAATTCCTGGAGAAAATGCTGGCCAGATGGAAATGAAGCAAAGAGGGAGCTCTAGGCTAGGGAACAGGACATGCAGAGGCCTGGGGATGGGAAGCAGCCCAGGGCATGTGGGGAACCGTGAACAGTTCTGGACACCTGGAGCAGACAGTGTGTGTATAGGGTCAAGGACAGGGTGGTGGGGACCTGGATTGTCAGATGCCCAAGCTAAGATGTAATTCGTAGGCGCTTCCCCTTTGAGTTTTAAGTAATGATATAGATATTTAACAAATGAAGAACAACTGAAAGTAAATCTTAAGGGGCCAGACAGATGCATTTATGGGGCTTCCCAGGTAGCGCCATGGTAAAGAACCCGCCTGCCAATGCAGAAGACTCAAGAGATGTGGGTTCCATCCCTGGGTCAGGAAGATCCCCTGAAATAGGAATTGGCAACCCACTCCAGTATTCTTGCCTGGAAAATTCCTTGGACAGGGGAGCCTGGTGGGCTACAGTCCATAGGGTCACAAACAGTCAGACTGAGTGACTAAGCACAGACACACACAAATGAGTTTATAGCGAAATTTTCTGGAAGGTTACCCAAGAAGCTCTTGCCTACAGTGAGTAGAAATGGGATGCTGGATACCTTTGACTTTTTATGCATCCCTTTTCTATTACTTTCAACATGCATTCATAATAACTTTAAACATTGTTTTAAGTATAACATTCTTTATCATTAGACGATGATTTGAGACTCAGAGGGCAAAGGACTCCCTGAGTTAATTGTCCACCTGGAAAGGCCAGCCCCTCTGTGACCCAGGCTGGAGCCACTATGGCAGGAGCCACGTGAGTGGAATTTCCCTCCCCTGCCCAGCAGCCCCTCCCCCTGGAGGGGCCTGCTGTGTACATCCAGCTACTCCCCCACCAGCCCGACCATCCTCTCCCTGGAGCCCGCGTTGACTCCCAGTGCCTGCCGTGACTTGGCCTCCGTCTCCCTGCCGGGCTCACATCACTACCATTTTCCCCACCCGCCATGGATGAATGCCAGCAGGGACCATGCTGTTTCAGAACCTCATTTTTTTTCCTTACCCACCCTATGACCTTAGTCCAGCACCTGGTAGTCTGAGGCTGGCCTTCCTCATAACCTTATGTAGCTCAAAGCTTGATTATGAGAGGATGTTAAGAGCTGACACTTCAGGCCTGTGCTAGGACCCATCTCTTGTCAGATCTTGGCAAGTTTTTATGTCTCTGAATTAATACATGTAATCAAATATGTATATCTCTTTTAAAATTATTTTTCTGTTAAAAATAATACATGTGCCTGGTTTTAAAAATGCAAACAGTGCACAGAGGTTTACAGTACAAGGTGGGTTTCTGCTCAGCCACAGACCCAGTCCCTCCCTCACCCAACCTGTCCCTGCATCCTCAGGTGTCCACTATGACCAGTTTCTGGTGCATCTTCCAGAAGTGGCCCATGGATAGGCAAGCACCTACAGGTTGGTGCATATGTGTTTTGATAAAAAGACACATCTTTGTCATTTAGTCATTTAGAGTTTGTTCAGGATTGCGAAGTAAACTCTGAACATATGAAAAACTCAGAATTGGTCGTGGACTCAGATAATACCACTGTCTCACTAATCGATGAACTCAAGGTAGGCAAGATGTGTGCAGGGAAGCTGGAAGAAAATTCAAGGAACTGTAGGAACTGCAGATGTGCTCTGTTCACTCATGGCTGATGCAGCAGCAAGGGATGTTCAGGGTGGTGCTTATATAAGTATACATGAACAAAGGTGGCAGGTGGCCAAGCAATTGTATCATGATGAATGTGCACAGTGCTATGGATGATCTCAGCCATTACATAACCATGCAGAGTCATTGTTTACAGGATGTAGGGTGAGATGGAAAGGACATAGGGCCAGAGAGCCTGACCACCACTATCGTGGCTAATTGCTATCCCTCTATAACCACCAATTCTCAAACACTCCCTGTTGTACCCTCTTTGCCACATTCCTAATATTTTCTCTCCCACCCAGTGACACAGACCTTGGGATGAACTGAAATTCTCAGCTGTGCTCAGAAAAGCCCCAAACCAGCCAGTTATTTCACAGGTGGAAAAGGGACTAGCTGGACCCGGCTGGACCCACCTGAAGCTCATCTGCCATTTTAAGCTAATTTTATGTTCAAAGAGGGGGCTTCCGTAGTGACTCAGACTCTTTATCAAGAGTCTTCCTGCAGTGTAGGAGACCTGGATTCAATCCCTGGGTTGGGAAGATCCCCTGGGAAGGGATTGGCAACGCACTCCAGTATTCTTGCCTGGAGAATCCCATGGACAGAGGAACCTGGCGGGCTACAGTCCATAGGGTTGCAAAGAGTCAGACACAACTGAGTGACTAACACTTTAACACTTATGTTTGGAGAAGGCAGGATCCCTGTGCCTCCCCCCTGCTCACCAGGAGCTCCCTCTGTCCACAGGGCGATGAGAATGATGACCTGTACTGTCGGACCTGCAGGCAGTTCTTCAGTTCCCTGCATAACAAGAGGGAGCACCTGCTGGGGAAGCAGCACCTGCAGAACCTCACAGGTAACCAACTCAGCTGTTGTTTAGTTGCTCAGTCATGTCCGACTCTTTGCCACCCCATGGACTGTAGCCCACCAGGCTCCTCTGTCCATGAGATTTCCCAGACAAGAATACTGGAGTGGGTAGCTATTTCTTTGGCCACCTGATGCTGACTTCACTTTCCCCAGGATACCAGCCCTGGCCTTGCTGCACACCTCCTGCCCCTCCCTGTCCCCTTCTCCAGCTTTCTCTCTCTCCCTGATTCCTTCATCTCCTATCAGCCTCTTTCATTTGTCCATCTTTGTTATTGTTTGCTGTCTCCCACCAGCATACAAGCCCCTCATGTTTGGGGATTTATTGTCGATTTTAGTCACTGCATTATCCCCTGGATCTAGAGCCTTGCCTGACACTCATAGCCAGTACTCACTGTGTATCTATAGAAGCATGAATGAATGAATATGTTCAACAAATACTTAACCTCTCTCTGCTTCCACTACCACATCTGTAACATAAGGATGAGCTGCTCGCCTCACAGGGCTCTTCCGAGGATGGACAGCAGAGCCTCATGCCCACTTGGTGCCCCTGAGATGCCACCTCCCCTAGGAAGTTGTTCCTGGTCCCAAACTTGGGGGGAAGGGGTGCTCCTGAGCCTCCAGCATGTACCCTTTGGTTAAAAATTATCTTCCTCTTCTACTGTTCCATCACCATGTACACACGTGTGCACATGCATGCAGAGACACAAGACACGCTTACACACAGACATGCTGACACACACAGACACACCCACATAGACACACACACGTCTACTGTCCTGGAAGGAGGGAGCCATGTGGTTTAGGACATATCTGTTGCTCATAGTAGATTCTCGATAGACATTTGATGAAGGAATGCACAGATCTACAGGAGGCTGACCTTCATCTGGGGTTTGTAAGGCAATAAACTATCTTCAGTAATGTCTTGTTGAAGGTGAATAATGGCAATGAAGGTGAAAATGCATCTCATTACTTGTAATTGAGTATAATGCATGAGTTCAGATACCTAGAGTTATACCATGTAAATTACCCGCTGGAGAGGATTACGGCTCATTTCAAAATCTATAAAATCATGTCCTGGGAGACGTGAGGCTGTAGATACATGTGGCTCTGATTCTGTGTAACTCTCCAAGGACCTCTAAAGTTATTTAAAGGGAAACAGACATGGGCACACCTCGCTCAGGGTTCCCTCTAAACAGCCTACAAGTTTTATGTTAACAGTCAAGCTCTCGAGAGCATTTCCACGTCTGCCTTTACTGCTGTGATATTGCCGGAAAGCAGGGTCTTGGGCAGCTGCACTGTCTGAGTCTCTGGGTCTCTGAGTCTCAGTGCTGATGGGAGGGGGCATTAGCCATGAGTCCCTTTGGAGCTGGATCTCACGTCGTTCACGCTGCCCTTCGAGGCGAGTGTAAGCCCAGGAATCGCCTGCTCCAGCCCTAGAAGAGGCTGTCTCCTCCCCAGCTCTCTCTTTCCTCTCACCAAAACCAGGGTGTGGCACAGATGGGAAGCCAGGGCCCAGAGCTCTTTGTTTTAACCGTGTTACTGGGATCTAAATCACACACCATAAAACGCACCCACTGCGAGTGGTTTTCCGTATGTTCCCAGATATGTGCAACCACTTTAGAACATTTCCATCAGCCCAGACAGCGCCGTACCCGTGAGCAGTCACGCCCCATTTCTGGGCAACCACTAGGGTGCCTTCTGCCTCCACAGGGGGCCCTGGGGGCTTAATTCTTGCTGTCTCCTTTCTGTGATGACACTGGGCATCCTGCCTTTGTGATATCTTAGGTGGGCAGAGCCCTGTCACCACGAATGACCACAGTTTGCAGCCCTCCTCTGCCACTTACTGCCTTTATCACCTTGGTTGAATTTTCTACCCACTGCCTTCTCTTTTTCAAGTGCAAAATTGGGAATAATGATAATACTACTGACCTCAAGGGGCTGCTGTAAGGAAACAAGATAATTCTGTGATGCTCGGCACACGCTGGGGTCTACTGTTATTATTATGAGCTTGGGGCTGTAGCAGATAAGCGGACCAGTTCCCTGCCCTACTTACCTCCCAGGAATCTCACACTGCTAATGGTCCCCATAGCTCTGTCCTTTGTGGTCTCCTTGTCTCTCCCCTCAAGCTGCCCTTCTCTAGGCATGGTTTTCCCCGCTCTGTGCCCCTGGTCTCCCTCCTGTTCACCCTCCAAAGTCCCAACAAAAAGGTGAATAATGGCAGGTTTTGGAGAAGATGGGGAGGAATCGTAGCCCTGATTCACTGCCGGTGGGAATGTCAAGTGGGGCAGCCACTTCGGGATGTAGTCTGACAGTTCTTCAAAAGGTTAAGCATAAAGTTGCTATTGAGTTGGCAAAAAAGTTTGTTCAGTCTTTTCCATAAGATGTTACTGAGAAACCCGAATGAACTTTTGGCCCACCCAATATAGGATCCAGGAATTCCACCCCTAGGTATGTACCTAAGAGAGCTGAAAATGTATGTTCACACAACACTGTGGATGTGCGTAACAACATTGTTCATAGTAGCCCCAAGGTGGAAGCAATCCAAACATCCATCAACTGATAAATGAATAAACAAAATGTGGTCCCTCCATGCAGTGGAATATTATTCAGCCACGAAAAGGAGTGAGATACTGATTTGTGCTGTAACATAGATGATCCTTGAAAACATGGTAAGTTAAAAATCCAGTCACAAAGGACCACATATTGTAGGATTTCCTGTATATGAAATGTCCAGTATATGGAAATTTGTAGAGACAGAAAGCAGACAAATGGCTGCCTAGGGTTGGGGCTTCCCAGGTGATGCTAGTGGTAAAGAGCCTGCCTGCCTAATGAAGGAGACATAAGAGATGCGGATTCGATTCCTGGGTTGGGAAGATCTCCTAGAGGAAGGCATGGCAACCCACTCCAGTATTCTTCCCTGGAAAACTCCATGGACAGAGGAGCCTGGCGGGCTGCAGTCCATGGGGTCACAAAGAGTCAAGCACGACTGAAGTGACTTAGCACATATGTGCTATGACACATAGCACAGGGTTGAGGGAGTGGTGGGGGATGGGAGGTGATGGCTGAAAGGAACCAAGATTTTCTTGGGGTGGTGATGAATATATTCTAAAAATGATTGTTGCGGTGATTGCACATATATACTAAATATACAAAATATTTTAGAATATACTAAAAGCCATTGAATTATACCCTTTTAATGGGTAAATTGTATGGTATGTGAATTAGATCTCAAAATTGTTTGGAAAAAAGATACTGGTCTCAGTCAAGGACCCCCTCCTCCAGGAAGTCTGCCAGCTGGCCTCCACTCGGCACCAGTCCCAGTACATTCTTCTTTTACATCTGGGGACCTGGCACAGGGAGGGGGGCTCAGGACGGACGGGCTTGCCCACATCTGGAGAGAGGGCCAGGTCCAAAAGAGCCACTCATCTTGTGCTCAGGGGCTGACCTTTGACATGGGGTTTCTTTGCTTTTTTAGGGAAATTTGAAAAAGACTCTGCTGAGTGCTTGAAGCATCTGGAGCTTCTGGAGGGAGAGGAAGGTCAGAATTTGAACAAAGGGGACTCAGAGGAGGAAGCCGAGTATCCTGACCCGCTTCTTCTCAGAGGCCTGATTCCTGAGAAGGGTTTTGCTTCATTTGACTTGTGTTTCTTGCAAGAGTTCACTTTTAAGCTTCTGCAAAGTGAGTAGTCAAGTTCCACCACTCGCTAGTAACTTTGGTGACGGAGGGTTTTATAATCATAGGAAGAATAGCCTACCTAATAGGTTATATTGTGGTATTAAGTGGGAAAAATGAAAGGTTGGTATTTACATTAGGAGAATAGCAATAAATAAAGGTAATTAGATGGGAAATAACTGAGGGCTTCCAGTGAGCCAGGTACAGGTCAGAAGTTTATACTAACTACCTTTTAATTGTCATAAAGGTACTGTGAGGTCGGTTATAGTATCACTCCTTTTAAAGATAAGAAAAGTGCGCACAGAGAGGTTGAGTAACTTGTGCGTGGTTGCACAGATAGTGAGCTGAGATTTAAATCCAAGTCCTTGGGTTTCAAGACCCATGTTCTTCATAACTTCCTTATGATCTCAACTATATAAAACTATGCATGTGTGAATCCATGCAAATGTTAACAATGGTTATCTCTGGCAGGCAAGAGGAGGGTGTTTTTCTTTATTCCTTTTTGTATTTGCCACATTTCCTCCAATGGATAGTTGTCCTTTCTGTTATCAAGGGACAAAATTAACTCTATTTAAAAGGGTTTTGAGGTCACCTGCACTTATTAGGGTCCCAAATACTGCCCATGTGAGGTGTGGTTCAAAGAAAAGGGGAGGTTTTGGATGGAAAGGAACAGATAAAGACGGCCTTCTCTCCGCCTTCCTCCCAGTCAGAGAATCTGAGCTCAGAGAGCTGAGGAAGACTCTAGAAAGAGCGCAAGCGGAGCAGGAGGCCCTGCAGAGGCAGCTGCTGGAGTTCCAGGTGAGGCGCTCCGGAGGGAAGCAGCCAGTCCCCATCTCTGTAGCCCGCTGCTCAGCTCAGGGCCTGGCCTGGTGGGTCAGGAAGCTGGAGAGGAAGACCACGTGGTCGGATTAAAAGAACACATTAAAAGCCACAGTGCTGCTTCCCTCCACACGGTTCCTGCTAGAGCACACTTGTTGCATGTTTTTGTAAAATACGGAGTGTCTGTCGGTAAAATACAGAGTACTTCCGAGGTGCAGAAATCGTGCCGTGGGCCTTCTTGTGCTCCCTGCTGGCTTCACTCAAGGCTCCGTGGCCATCCATGCTGCCCTGTGGCATCTGGCCTGCTATTTCTGCATGTCCCTGGCCTGCTGCCCATGTTGGGCCCCCTGGTTTCCACACTCCTTTGAGTGTAGTTTATTAAAGGACAGTGAGTGTTTAAAGCAATAAAATAAAAGGGAACACCCCAGTTATTGTGAGATGGCCCACCTGACGCAGGTCCCTGGCTGTCAGCCCAGCCAGGGCCCCCGGCTCAGCAGCCTGGCCGGTGGGGAGGGTGTGAACTGTGGGGCTGGGAGGGGGTGTCCCTTACGGTCCGGGCCTTTCTTAGCAGAGCGTCTCGCTGAGCTCCCAGCCCACGTCTTAGAGGAGGACAACCATATCTACCTTGCCGGGGATGTTGAGAGGGGCTGAGGGCCTGGCTCACAGTCACACTTTATCTGCAAATCCTGCCCTCGCCCTGGGGCTGCCCCATCCCGGGGCATCCTGGCTGGGGACCCTGCAGATGGGAGCCCGAGAAGGACCAACTCGGAAATCAGGCCCAGCCGTGGGTCTGGGCTCGTCTCCCTGGCCGTGGGGCTGGGGCAGCTCCCTGACCCTCAGGGAGCTCACGCCCCAGGCCTACTTATATAATAGGAGGCAGGGACACCACCTGGGCAGGCGGGCAGGTGAGATACTGAGAGATATGAAGAGTCCGGCCCCAAGTAGTATTTTTAACAAGGGGGTGGTTCGCTGTCAGTGGGACAGCTGTTTATTCCTTGGACTCAGGGAGGGGAGATTGACTATGTTCATGGCTTCTGTGTGTGCCTTACAAGAGCAGCTGCAAGACCCTTTTTGTCTAATTGTTTGCTTATTTGATTACTTATTCACTTGGTGCCTATTTATTTACATGTGTACTTATTTCCTTATAATTATGTACTTATTTATTGGTTCATTTATTTACTTCCTCACTTAGATACTTAGTTATGTACTTATTTATTCACTTGCTTATTTACTCATTCATTCAGCTATTCATTCATTCATTCATTCCATTGGAAAGTTTTGGGGCTAGCCATACAAACACCTTGATGTTCCTTTCAGAACCGACAGCAGTGGCTGGAGGTGGAGCTGGCCGGCCTGAAGACCTATGGGGTCGTCCTGGAGAAGGAGTTTGAGAACCTGAACATGGTCATCATGCTGTCCCACTTTGGCCTGCGAGTAATGGACACGGGTGAGCCCGCCGTCCGGGGCAGACCCTCTCCCCCTCCCCTGGCCTCACACGTGCTTCCTCCAGGTCCTCACTGGTCTGTGAAACTGAGGCCCAGAAATTCCTGTCCGTTCACTTAGTCATACCTGCATTCCTCATTTCTTCACTTAGCCTACATCTTGCATGGCCAGCATATCCAGTCTTGGTGATGAATGGTGATACTGTCATCCTAAGTCCAGCACCCACTGGGGGTCAGCCCCTGATCTGGGTGCTTCCAGGGGATGAAAATATGGAGAAGCCCCTGGCCTCCAGCTCTAACTGCCTGGGACAGACCCTCAGTCACTAGACTGTTGGGGTGCAATGTGTCCCAGAGGAGAGCTGCCCCCCATGGACAAGATGCCGTGGGCACTCAGGGACGAGGCAGTTCCCTATCTGTGGAAGGTGGGCTTCTAGAAGGACTTAACAGAGGAAGGACCCAAGAGGACAGTCCCAAACTCCTGAGACAAAGAAGGGCTCAGAGGTCCACCCCGTGCAGAGAGGTGAGGGAGGGCACAGAGCGTGTTCATGGCTGTGTCTCATGCAGGCCTGGTGCCTACACCCTTCTCTGAAGAAAATGTCATGAGTACCACTTCATTATAAATATCTAAACATGACTGTTTGGAGGAACATAAAATGCGAACATCCCTCTTCACTCCCCACACCTCTGCCCAGTCCCTTCCCTAGAAGTTTTTACTGTTCACATCTTGCCATTTTCTGTTTATGAATGAGGTGGTGGTGAGTGATGTGTCCTAAGTCACTGCAGTTGTGTCCAGCTCTGCAACCCCATGGACTGTGGCCCACCAGGCTCCTCTGTCCATGGGGTTCTCCAGGCAAGAATACTGGAGTGGGTTACCATGCCCTCCTCCCGGAGATCTTCCGGACGCAAGGATTGAACCCATGTCTCTTATGTCTCCTGCATTGGCAAGCAGGTTCTTTACCACTAGCACCACCTGGGAAACCCAAGCCATGTTGTTATAATGAGGCAAGGGGAAGGGGGCAGTTCCCAGGCACTTAGGGGCCCTAGGACAGTGGCTGTGTACCAATCAGTCTGGCAGATTTCAATAATTTCAGACCTGGTACCACCTCACTGGTGNCCAAGCCATGTTGTTATAATGAGGCAAGGGGAAGGGGGCAGTTCCCAGGCACTTAGGGGCCCTAGGACAGTGGCTGTGTACCAATCAGTCTGGCAGATTTCAATAATTTCAGACCTGGTACCACCTCACTGGTGCATTACTGGCTAACCACCAGCACGGTGCCGGTGAGAAACAGCTGGACTTGTTCATCGACAGCTTATCTGTTTCCTATGAATGGGACGGCACGCCAGTCCCCTGCTATTTCACATTAAGGTGGGGGACACCTGGGGTTTCACCATCATGGTGAAGCAGTGACTCCAGAACACATCACATCAGGTACAAGCTGTAGTATCCCTGCTCCATAAATAGCTAAGCCTCAAGGCCAAGGGTCCTGGCAATGAGAGGCATGGAGCAGGTCCTGCTGCTTCAGGAGCTTGGAGGCCCCTCCCCTTCTTCTTCTGTTTTCCTCTCCTCCCCATCCTTGCTTGAGAGCATTTGCCTGGCCTGCAGAGTGGGACACCACTGAACAACAACAACACTTAAGTATCAAAATCCCCATGGAATCAGGCCGGGGCAGATGCTCTCAAGCAAGGATGGGGAGGAGAAGGGGAGGGAAGGAAGAAGAGAAGGTGCACAGCCACTGTCCAAGGGCCCCTCACTGCCTAGGACCTGCCCCACTCTCCTTGCCCCAATCCAGCAACCTGGCAGCCCTGTCCCAAGAATCGATTAGACAAGTGAGATTTAGGGAGGGAGAGATGCCAGGGGTGAGCGCTCCACCCGGTACCTGATGTGGTGTGTTCTGGAGTCACTGCTTCACCGTGATGGTGAAACCCCAGGTGTCCCCCACTTCAGTGTGAATTAGCAGGGGACTGGGGTGCCGTCCCATTCATAGGAAACAGACAAGCTGTCAGTGAACAAGTCCAGCTGTTTCTCGCCAGCACCGTGCTGGTGGTTAGCCAGTAATGCACCAGTGAGGTGGTACCAGGTCTGAAAGTATTGAAATCTGCCAGATAGATTGGTACACAGCCACTGTCCAAGGGCGCCTAACTGCCTAGGACCTGCCTTACTCTCCTCGCCCCAATCCAGCAACCTGGCAGCCATGTCCCAAGAATCAATTAGACAAGTGAGATTTAGGGAGGGAGAGGTGCCAGGTGGTGAGTGCTCCAAAGGGAGAAGGGTTGCCCAGGCTCAGGTTCCAGCTGGATGCGGGAAGCAGGTGGGAGGCGTGTTCTCCAGCCTTGATAAGCCCATGGGCCCCTATTCTTTCTCCCGCCCTGTGGCCTCTTCCTCACCTTGTGAATTGGATCCTCTTACTGCAGTCGTGATAACGGCAACTCTGGGGAACAGACAAAAGATGCTGCGGGGGTTGGTTAATGTCGAGGTGTGTTCACATGGGTGTCCTTCCCAGGGAAGGCATGATGGAAGGCATGGCATGTGGTGCCTGTGTAGTGTGTATACAGGGTACAGTATAACATGAAAGAAGGTCAGCTTTCAGACAACGTTTCTTGATCATTGGCTCCAAATTTGTCAATGCAGCTGGTGTCAGGTAATGTCCAAGAAGCAGTTTTGCAGGTTCAGCTGCTTCTCTGCTCCAGCAGTTGGGTACTCTCTACTTCCTGAAGTTCCCCTCAACCCACTCAGTTCACTCCATCCCGAGATGTCCTTTGAGCCCAGGGATCAGTGCTGAGAAGCCAGAAATTTGAGGAGTTTTATGACCTCACAGAACCCTAGGTCTCAGAGGGTGACACTGAGGAGTAAATCAAGGCTCATGGTGTGATCTGCTTCCCAGGTGGCCCTGTGGGAAAGAATCCGCCTGCCAGTGCAGGAGACATGGGAGATAGGGGTTCGATCCCTGGGTCAGGATGATCCCCTGGAGAAGGAAATGGCAACCCACTCCAGTACATTCTTGCTTGGAAAATTCCCTGGACAGAGGAGCCTGGTAGGCTAAGTCCATGGGTTCACAAAGAGTTGGACACGACTAAGCACGCATGCAGCATGATGTGACTCAGCCATCCTATCTGAGCCTGAGCTGTGTGTGTGGGGTACCAGGCAGGCCCTCCTCTCAGGGCCCCCTCTTCCAGGACCCTGTCCCACTTCTCCATCTAGGACACAGTTGTCTCTCCAGGAGCATCTGGGATAAGCAGAGCAGACATGGATTGGGCTCCATCTGAAGAGGCCCTTGGGCTCCACAGCTTTTTCCTGGTAATAAACTGTCTTCTCTCCCTTCCCAACTCTGCAGCGTAAAGCAATGCCCACCTTTCACCAGTGAGGACCCCAGGATGCATCCCAGGTGCACAGAGGTTAGGTTCCAAAGAGCCATCTCCCTCAGTGGAAGAAGAGTGGAGGATCCTGGGGCCCTGAGGATGGGACAGCAAGGATGAGTCAGGAGAGCTGTCTATTGACCCAGAAGAAAATAAATCATGTGCGTGTGTGTGTTTGCACAACAGACTCAGTCTGTCTTTTTGTCTCGGGCTTGGCAGTGTCTGCCCTGTAAGTACTGCTCCCAGGAACTGTAAGTTGAGCAGCTTTGATCTGGGAAGATGTTGGTGGAATGTGTCTGCCTCTGCAAGCACAGAAAGTGAGTACCACACCCACCTGCTCTCGGAGCCCTCGTGCCGAGCATCCCTGAGCCTATACCCGCCCCTCCCTCTCATGGTGAGTCTCCGTGGTACACGTACACTTTGGTTTCCTCTACTGAATTATAAGGACACTAGCGCTGCCCATCAACCACAAGGGGTGGGGTGAAGATGAAGTAATACAGCCAGACCCCAGAAGCTGACCTGCAGGCAAGCAGGTTGTTTGAGAGGTAACCCCAGGTAGAGGAGTGGGGAAGTGAAACAGGGAGGGGAGGACAGACTCGAGGGGGCACATTGTCCAAGCAAGATACTGTGGCTGGGCCCCTGGGGAAATTCCAGGAGCCAGGGTGGGACACACACCTGACAGCATCCCACTCAGTGGCCTGGGAAATGGGGGTAGTTATCCACCAACCCCCCTCAGACTCTGCTAGAGGATAACTTCTGGGAGGGGTTAATTCCTTTTCCTTCCTGCCTGCTATGCAGATGACATGGGGAACACAGGAGACGAGAAGAGCCTAGGGCAAGGAAGGCTAAGGTTGGAAGGCTGGCCAGTGTGCCCCTTGGAGTGGCAAGGACAAGGGATGAAATTGGGACCCAACTGTGTTTGTTATGGGGTTGCTGCGGGACTTTATAGGCTATTAATCAATATACATCTCCAAAATAGGGGTGATCATGGTGGTTCCTGCAGACAGGTTGTAGACATCAGGGATTAGGTCTGCCTGCCTGCAACAAAGACGAGACCACAATGGCCTCACCACATAACAAATGGTCCAGGGGTGAGCAGTGGGGGCTTGGACAGCAGTTCTTGTGTGTGCATGCATTGCCCACAAGGTAGCTCCCCAACCTCCAGCATTGTGTCTGTGCTCCAGGCAGGAGGGTGACAGCTGGCCTGCCTCTTTTTACAAAGAGCTTCCAGAAAGTCCCAATTTCTAGAAGGAATTTCCAGAAAGCAACTTGTATTTGCATCTCAGGGACCAAGGTGGCAGCATTTAGTCAAGATAGCTGCAAGGGAGCCTGGGAAATGTAGTTTTAGCTGAAAACAAGGCTGCCCAGAGCAAAGATGAGTTGGGTTAGTGAGGAAGAAGGGGGTACAGAAGAATTGCAGGGGACAGAGGGCAGTATCTGCCCTAGTGAACACTGTTTCTAGAGGAGGAAGCCAGCTTGTAACCCTGCAGAGGTCTGTGTGCAGTCTGGCTGGAGTCCTGGCAGAGGATCCCAGCGTCTTTCTCTCTGCTCAGCAAACATTGATGGGGTGTCTCTGAGTATTTTTATGGCAGGTGTTCAGCCAGAGTGATAGCTACTACACTAGAGCTGCTGAAGGCCTGCTCTGTACTTGGTCTTTGTACACACTTGATGCTTGGCAACCCACTCCAGTATTCTTGCCTGGGAAATCCTATGGACAGAGAAGCCTGGTGGGCTACAGTCCATGGGGTTGCAAGAGTCAGACACAACCTGACGACTAAGCTATCACCACCACACACATCCAATCTCGTTGCAAGGCAGGTTCTCTTGAGCTACTTATAGATGGAAAGAGAGAAGCCCAGTAATTGGCCAGAGATGCCATCAGCGAGGAGATCAGATTTGGTTTCCATGACAACTGTATCCTATGGAGATTCAGCTCTTTGCTTTAACCACATGGGCCTACAGGACTGGTAGCTGCTTTGCAGGAGGACAGTCGTCTTTCTCTTTCAAACCAACCTGGCCTCTCCCTCCCTATAGTGACCCTGTCCTGCACCAACCTACAGCCAAGGTTACTCTCAAAGACGTTTGCTGAATAAGAATACCTGGATTATCCAAATTAGACCACGAAGAGAACTTTCAGATTTAGCAAATAAAAATACAGAACACTAATTAAGTTTGAATCCAGATAAACAAGAACTTCTAGTATGTCACATGCAGTATTTAAGACACGCTGAAAGTGGTTTAAAAAATTTTAACTGGACACCCCATATTTTATCTGGCAGCCCTAAATGCAAATGCCTCAATGGCCATGTAACTCATCAAGCTCAACCCTTTATTCCATCACAAGACAACCTGGATTTCTCCCGGAAGGGTACACAGCACACTGATGGTGACCCCTGAGCTATATCCAGGTCCCAGGGTCTCAGACCCTGACCTTTGGACCAAACAACCATGAGAAGCAGGTAGTAGCAGGTTCTAAGTGAGGCGAGGTGGGCCCAGGTGTCTAGGAGGTGAGGGTGACTCTTCTCAGGTTCAGGTGGAAGACTTAACCATGGCGGGCAGGGTTGATCCTCGCCTCAGCTCTGCTTCCCAAAACCTGTGGGGCCTGGAATCCATCCCTTCATCTCCATTTCCCCACTTGCCGCAAGGGAGCTGGACTAGCCTGCGTCTAATACATCAAGTCTGAATGCACGAACATACCTAGACATATGTTATCTCCACTTAGCAGCAGTGGGACTCTGAGCAAGGCACTGCCTCCATGAGCCTCAGTTTTCTGCTCTGTAAAATGGGGATGCCGACACCTGGTGGGGTCACTGTCAGGACCGAGGAGCTGTGCCTTCTAAGTCACCCTGCCCAGGACTGCATGCTGCAGGGGGCACCGGACATGGGTGTGCCTGTTGTCCCTGACAACCGTCCTGCCAGGATCCGTCCCATGGCGACAATAACACCTGCATCAGCTGACAGGTGCTGAGGGGATGCCTGTCTCATGCTCATCCCCACGGCCGAGCCTCTTTGCTGGAGCAACTCCACTCCCCAGGCACTGTGGGGACCAGCTTGGGTTTGGGTTTCTCATGCCCCTCATGGGAGCTGAACCCCATGCCGCTGTCCTAGGTGGGATGTGGGGACCGGGGTGAGAGATGATGTTGTTGGGGTGGTCCTGATGCAGAGAGGCAGAGTCTCGGAGCTCAGTGATGCCTCCTTCAAGAAGCCCTGCCCTCCACAGCTGAAGCCTCATCTGTGAAATCTGACTCCCTCCAGATCCAGTTACCTTTGCTTCTGGGCAGTGCCTCCACACCTCCCGGCCCAGCCTGTGCAGAATGTACCCAGGGAAACCAAATCGCTGGGGATGCTGGGGCTCACAAGGGGGCCACGGTGCCCTTAGATGGCAGGAGTGGCCACTGCACTTCTGTAGCGTGCCTAGGTGGATGCCCTGGCCAGAGGAGCTGAAACATAATTATCTGAGATGGACTTGTTCAAGGAGGCACAGAAAGAAACAAAATTGCCGTGTGACCCAGTGCATACAAACAGAATTAAAACCAAACTCATGCAAAGCAATAGTCAGCCTACTTCAGAGGTGCACTCTGACACTTTGTCTTCCATTTCATGTTTTAAAACTGCTGGGCACAACCCCCTAAGTTGATTTCAGGGCTTCCTAATAGGTGATGACTATAGTTGAATAAATCTTTCTCAGGCATCCTCACTACAGGCCCTTTATGTTTGATTATCGGAGTCTATGACTGAGCAAGTCGGAGTTCTGGCCTGAACATCTTCCTCTCTTCATGCTGGGAGATAAGAAACCTGGGCATCTAGCTCTGCCTGCCTGCAGAGATGGGCCAGAGTGGGTGAGACGCTGAGGACTCTGGGAGTAGAAATGGTGGATAATCCTCCTGCCTGAGAATGAAGTAGAGTAAACTGTCCAGCTGATGTGTTAGGAGCACTGGCTCTGGGGCCAGACTCGGTGCCCGGACTCTGCCACTTGCTAGCTCTGTGACCCTGCATAAATCACTTTACCTCCAAGATGCTCAGTTTCCCCATCTGTAGCATGGGGATGATAGTAAGACCTCATCAGATTATTGTGAGGATTACATGGGTTCCTAGACCAGGTCTGGCATGTGGGGAATTCAGTAAATATTGGCCAGGATGGACACCAGGGCTGGCTTCACAGGTGTGCAACCTCTCAAGTCTCACAGAGCTCTGCTCTCAGAAGGACTAGGTTTAACGCTTTGCTCTTACCATCTTAAAAGTCATAATAATTTTTTTTTGAACCTATGCTTTATAATTGACATCTGATAGGATGACAGAGCATGCTCAGGGGATGTGCCAGGTGGTTATGCTGCTCTCCAAGCAGTTAGGTTGGTTGCTGGGCTACAAACACACACATATGCCTGGGGTGGCCTGGGGCACTGTGGGGTCCTGGGGAGGTTGTGACCGGGGCTGGGACCTAAGCCTGGGCTGCTGGTGGTGATCTTGGTGGCCAGTGGGAGACCCTGGAAGAAAGGAGGAACTTCATGCCAGGAGTCTGTCCCAGGGAGACCTCTATAAATATCAACTCTCAGGCCTGAGGGCTGGGGTAGGAACTGCTGGGGTTCTGGCAGTAAACTTTGTCAGTAAATTATTACAGAACTGAAGTGTACACATGGACATGGCCACACAGCGTGCCAAGAGTTATTAGAACGCTTCAGGGAGCTTAGAATCTCTGGCTTTGACAGCTATTGCAATACTGCAAATGCTCAAGGGCTTATAAATGAAATTAAATGTAAAGATTGTCACTTTTGATGGAAAAAAAGCATTATGTCCATATCAAGCTTTGATGAACCAGTGATTAAAGAGGAAGACAATTTTAAAATAATCTTTCCTTGTAATTAAAATATAGTGAAGAAATGCATAAGTAGGTGATCAAACTATATACAAGTCATGAAGTCACTTTTGGTTTCTGTTATAACCTTCACAAATCGGGAAATGAGTATGTCAAGGCTGTATATTGTCACCCTGCTTATTTAACTTATACACAGAGTACATCATACGAAATGCCAAGCTGGATGAGGCACAAGCTGGAATCAAAATTTAAGGGAGAAATATCAAATAACCTCAAATATGCAGATGACACCACCCTTATGACAGAAAGTGAAGAAGAACTAAAGAGCCTCTTGATGATAGTAAAGAGAGTGAAAAAGTTGGCTTAA